GCGTTTAAAAACAAAATTAGTCTGTAAAGTCAAAATTTTTGATTTAAGTTGAAACCACTAAGGTGCAGTATCCTACATAGGCCAATAATAGTAACGCTGTGATACCATATAGAATACCTATCCCTTTTGGTGTCATGAGCTTTACCAATGGTCTTATTTCCACCTGTGAGATCTCTGCCAAGCATGCGTAATCTTTTTGTATGATCTTGCAACTACAACATTGGTGCGATGCGTATGCCAATAAAAGTTCTTATAGGGAAACTCAAGAGCACAGAAGTGAGTTTTCTGTTATAGGAGGTAGAGTTGTCAAACTATCGATGGCACTATCGATAGTATCGATAGTTTCAATTTTTTTAGACTATCAATACTCATTGATAGTTTTTTCTTATACTATCAAAAATATCGATAGTTTAGTAGGACTATCGATCATCCCTCCCAATTTTTTTGAAATTATACATACATATGTTAATCGTAAATCCTGTTTTGTTTGTATAACTTGTGTTTATTTTTGAAAATAATCTAAAAAGAGAAGTATTTAGGCTAAGCAGTTACTTACTTTTGAATGATTATAACTTTTATAAGATAATATTTATTTCACTATGATCCTGTAAAAACAAAGCAACCTAACTGATTTAGCGCTATCGATAGTGCTATCGATAGTTTTGTTTTTTTCGAGACTATCGTGAATATTGATAGTTTTTCTGAAATGATGGTGTGACTATCGATAGTTTGACACCTCTAATAGGAGGGCCAAGAATCCTCGCTGTCCTATAGGATGAAAAGTTTTCCGGTACATTGCTAAATGAGTCGTGTGATCTCTTAAGTATCTTTCAAATGGAGCAATTGATATACCTACGGTGATCTTTCCTTGTTAATTCACCACTTTTACAAACTTAACCCCATCCTTCATTTAGACATCTGAAAACTAAATTCGTATAACTTAAACATAGGGCCAAAGCAGAACAACCACGGGGTTTCTATACATTTCGGCTGCAGCGCCATCCATTTGGTTCATTTTCTGTAAAACCATTGCTTACCATAAAATTAATACGTGTTATGAATTTCAACCTTAACTCCAGCGGCACTAATCGGTAAATTTATCAAAAATTCACATCATATAGTCAATTATTTGAACGAAATCGGTTAATAAATACGATTTTTATAAATAACTCTACTCCAGCACCACCTAGCGAGTTTTCTAGTAGCATGTAATATATGTATGTCAGATAACCTCCGACAATCTGACGGAACTCTATTCAGTGGTTTTTGAGTTTATTCCAACAACGAACGCGGCTATCATTTTATGCAAATAGGTATGTAGATATAGGGCAGTCTATAACGAAACCCAAAAAATCAAAGCTCCATTCTTTGTGCAAAATTTAAAAAAATTCTTCAAAAATTTCACATAAATTTTACCTTTTACTAAAAACTAAAAACAAAGTTACAATATTTCAATGGGATTTAGAAATCTAGGAGAAAATGGTTCCCAATCGAGTGATACTTGCGCGTTTACGTAAATGTATATCGATGCAGTCTTTCCAATAATTACCACTTTTCGCCATAAGTACGGTATTGATAAAAAATGTAGCTGTGTAGAATTTCAGGACGTTAGCGTAAGTAGTTCCAGAGATAAGCTATATGGGAAGTTCAGTTTGTATGGAAGGAAAGAGCCACGCCCCCTTTCCCAATGCATTTGCAATATATACATCAGTGCTAAGTTTCAGTTCCCAGCGCAATTGGTTTTAGATATATATTGGTTTTTTACAGCCCGATTCTGTGTACTTGATAAATTTAAAATCTTTATAATTTGTCAATTTTTTATTATTTATCAAGAATTGGTATTCTAGCACAGAAATCAAAAGCCCTTTTCTTGATAAATTATCAAGATTGAAAATGCTATTGACAAATTGAAATTTCATGTGAAATGTATAAATTTTGTATCTTAATAAATTTGTTTCTAACAATTAAATACTCCATGTGCCGGCATTTGAACCTGCGACACACGGAATTATAGTCGACATCTCTACCTACTCGGATACGGCAGTCAAAAGCTTTTTCGCTTTTAAATTCATATTTTTCATATGTGACAATGAAATCAGTTGCACTCATGTGGAAATCAGTTCCACTAATGTGGAAATCGTAGAGCTTTTGTTTTATAAATATTGACACAGAATGCGAACGAAGCTTTTGCTTGATACAAATCTTGATGAAATTTCTTAACAAAAAATTTATCAAGAAAACATAGAATTGGGCGGTTAGTCTGTATAAGAATTTTAGGAATATCCCGACATGTAGAGTAAATTTTTGGTCAGAATATTTATTTTCAAGATGTTGCCAAATATGAACCAAGTCGGTGCAGCCGTTTAGTAGTTTAGTGAAATACATTGTAAAGAGAACTGTATGAAATTGTTAAACGTGACGTCTCAGATTTCTTAATTTTTTGGCAGCAACAACGAAAAGTTTTAATTTTTTTAGCGAAAAACCTTCCACACAGAAAAAAAAAAGTTTGTGGTTATGTCAAGGCGAAATTTTGAGAACGGTCCGTTGCTAACTCTAAATATAAACTACGACACACTGGAAAAAGTTAATACGTTCAAATACCTAGGAATAATGATCGACGATAAACTAAAACAAAAAAAAAATGGATTCTATATTTTCAATTAGAGCTCTAGCAATATGTACATCGGTGAAAACCTCATTTAACTCCATACATTAGCTTTTGCGTGATGCGCTTACAAACATACAGACAAACATACCAAAATTTTATATTTGGCTTCTGTTGATCTAATAAACCCCCTATTAATTTTTTTTTAACATATTCTCAAATACTCTCGTTTGATTCCCATATGGCAACACTTAGTTTATATTATAAATTTAACTGAATTAAAGTTTTCAAACCCGCTTCAAGAATATTTCATTTGTTTTACAAATTTTAATGAATACAATTTTTCAATCAGTTGGCAAATCCCCTAAAAATATTTTAGCATTAAAATTTCCTAGCCTCTTTAGTTTGATGCCAATATTGCAATATTTAATTTATGCTATCAATTAAATTAAACTAAAGTTTTCAAATAGGTGGCAACCTTCCCCAAAAATATTTTCAGCTGTAAGCCTTTGTAAATTTATTTCTTTATTTCTGCATTCAATTCCATGTTTTCGACTGATGTGCGTACAAATATACAGACAGACAGAGATTCAAAAATTTTAAAATTGTTTATTTGGCTTCTGTAGCTTAAATAAAAACCCACCATATTAATTTTTCTTTAATATCTATAAGGTACAGACATCAACCTGTTACAATTTTGTTATATGTATAGATGTAGATATAGATTTCATTTTTTTTATCAATTTAATACAATAAAATTTTTGAAACAGGTGGCAGCCCTCCCTAAAAATATTTTCGGCAATATAATTTCCTAACCCCTTTCAGTTTTATACCCATATTGCAATATTCAATTTATCTTATAAATTGAATTAAATGTACATTTTCAAACAGGTGGCAACTCTAAAAAAGTATTTTTGGCTGTAAGCCTTCTTCAGCCTCTTTCTTTTGACGCCCATATTGCAATATTCATTTTTTCTTATCAATTTACTTAAACTCCAATTTTCAAAAAGGTGGCAGCTATCTAATTTTTTTCTTCCTATATTTTAAGTTAGACCTCTCGCAATACATCGGTGAAAACTGCATTGAAATCCATGCATTCGTTTTCGAGTGATGCGCGAACAAACATACAGACAGACAGACAGACAACAATTCTAAAAATGGTTGATTTGGCTTCTGGTGCTCTAATAAAGACCCCACAAATTAATTTTTCTTTAATATCTATAATGTACAGACATCGACCTGTTACAATTTTATTATATGTATAGATATCTAGATGTAGATTTAGATTTCATTTATTTTATCATTTAATTCAATAAAATTTTTCAAACAGGTGGCAGCCCTCCCTAAAAATATTTTCGGCAATATAATTTCCTAAACCCTTTCAGTTTGATACCCATATTGCAATATTCAATTTATCTTATAAATTAAATTAAATGTAAATTTTCAAACAGGTGGCAACTCTAAAAAAATATTTCTGGCTGTAAGCCTTTTTCATTCTCTTTCTTTTGACGCCCATATTGCAATATTCATTTTTTCTTATCAATTTACTTAAACTCCAACTTTCAAACAGGTGGCAACTCCCTAATTTTTTTTCTTCCTAAATTTTAATTTAGACCTCTAGCAATACATCGGTGAAAACTGCATTCAAATCCATGCATTCGTTTTCGAGTGATGCGCGAACAAACATACAGACAGACAGACAGACAGACAGACAAAAATTCTAAAAATGGTTGATTTGGGTTCTGGTGCTCTAAAAAAGACCCTCCACATTAATTTTTCTTTAATATCTATAATGTACAGACATCGAGCTGTTACAATTTTATTATAAAAAAAAATAATAATAAAAAATTTTGCATACATTGTGAAAAAGTATCTGTACCAACAATCCTGTGTAGCACTGTATGTGTGTACGTATATAAAAACTTACAGCATTATGTTTTTCAAAAATTGAAGGGTGTTTTTTCAAAATGCTAATAAAATCGTTCGATGCCAAAAGATTAATGGTATGCGTCGCGCATTTAATGTGCTTTGGAAGACAACTTTCATATAAATGACTTGAAAAATCGCTTGACTCAAATACGTCTTCTTCTGAAGTGCTCTCGACTCCAAATTCTTTAAATGCTTTTATAAAATTAGATCCGTTATCGGTTATAGTGGCTATTACGTTATTACAATTTAGTCCAAAGTTAGCATGAATATCCATAATAATATCGTTAATTTTGTCGTAAGAATGGGATCCTTTAAAACGGTGACAAGCCAGTGCAACAGACTTCCTCTCGAAAGAATTTGATAGCCAATGGCACGTGTAGCCAAAAAAACTGCGATGTTTGGTAGACCACACATCGGCGATAGTACAAAAATACGATTGATTTTTCAGCTCATTTTTAATTTTTACTATCATTGATTTATAACAATCATCAATTCGTTTTGTACCCGTTGTCCTAGTCATTAATTTTGCTTGGGGATTCAAAAATGTAACAAACTGTCTAAACGTTTTATCTTCCACAATAGATATTGGAAGCATGTTATTCGCGATAACTTTTACTGTAAGGTTTTGAAATATGGTATCGCTATATTGCCTTTTTCTTGAACTGTAAGACTTAAATTGCTCATATTCTGCTAATTGTTGAGGATGCTTTATCCGTAAATGGCGTACGAAATTCGAAGTCACTTGAAATGAACCTTGTAGTTTAGTTGTGCAAAAGCGACATTTTGCAAGTACACCCCCACGTTGCTTGTGATAGTCAGTACTATCTAGCTGTATACAGAAAGGAACGAAAATATTATATACTATTTCTTAGTGTTTATTATTGTTATTAATATTATTATTACTATTATTATTGCTACAACTACTACTACTCCTACTACTAATACATATTATTACTATTATCTATATATATAATTCGCGAATGCATTTTTTGTTAATGCCATCAGATCAATCGAAATTGTTTTGAAAAGGTTTTATCTCTAAAGCATATATACATATGTATATAAGAGTGTTGCCCCATGTCAAATTCAACTTCATCAGTTGATTGAAATATGTAGCACAATCTCGGTCCAAAGAGATTTAAAAAGGGTTTAGTTTGAATATACCTTTGATATATGTTTGAAAAGTCAAAATTAGTTAGAAAATAGAAATAGAAGAATAGAGAATAGAAAATATTTTGATTATGGCGGCCACTGAAACTGTATATATGTACATACATATATGGGTATGGTATGTACAACGACGCACATGAAATTTCATTGACTATGTGCGTACATATCATTAAATCGTTAATAGTACCCGTTAGATATGAGTCGGGGACTAATTGATTTCCATTAGCACCCGTATGAGACTAGTTTCGACTAATTCTTGCCCAATTGTACCCGATTGAGAGTAATCTCGGACTACTCTCTTTAGAGATTAGTCGCACAATTTCTTGCAGGGTGTGTACACACCCTGCACATGCATTATACACATACATACACAAGACCATAGTCATCTTATGTTCAAAGTTAAAACTTTTTCTTATCGGTGATTAAAATTAGAGAAACTGAACCATGCGAGACCCCCTCTTTACTCAGAAAGGACTGGACGAATTTGCATGAAATTTAGCAGACTTGAAATATTTTTTAGGAATTTGAATAGCGTTGACACTTGTTTAAACAGTTAAATTAAATTTTAACGCCATATGTGTTCACTAGTTACTAATTTTAGATACTATTATAAACAATTTGAATATTGATGAAGTAATTCGCCATTATATTCATACCTTCTGGATAATTTCAAAATATTGTGCAAACAACTCTTCCTGTGCATATACATCTTTTGTCGTACTACCGTTATTGGAAGAGGTAGTTTGTGCAAGCTCTTGAGTGGACGCCTCGGAGTTATCCCGCACTGACTCCTCCACAATTACTTCCTCCCAAGTTGTGGTTAGGGAAGCTGATAGTTCCTCTTCAAAAATGTAATTCATTCCCACCTCAAAACATTGGTATGTAGTGTTTTCCGGTTGGTTTATTTCATCGCTTAAAGACATTTTTCTTCTGAGACGCAAAATTTGAGTGTTAATTTTTATTTTTTGTGACAGATGTAAGAAAATTTTCAGTATTATGTATGTAAGTAAAATTTTTATGTAAATTTATACAAAAAAGCATTTGAGTACTAGATTACTTCAACAGCTTTATTCTGCATAGCAAGGAGAATCTGTACACTGGTGTTACTGTCGAATTTAGATTTCCGCCGCGGTCCTTCTGGAATGCGATTCCATTATAAAAGAGAAAACCATTTTGAAATATGAGTGATTTTATTCTCTACAAAATACCTGACAGACGCGGTTTTGCATTATCGTGATACGCGGTTTTGTACTTGAATCGACGATATGAACATACATGTGTGTATAGCTCAGTGATTAGCGCTTCTGACTTTGCACATCGTTGATGAACTGTTTTTAAAAGGTAAATGTAATACAACTGTTTTATATAATCCCAAATTTATGATATAAAATCCCCTCTTCCAAAAACCTTAAATTGGGTAACACCGCTTCGAATTTTTACAATTGAGCAATTGTCAAAAATCTGCCTTTTTATCAAAAAGTAGTTTACCAGGGTGTCTTTGAACTAATGATCGGTACTGAATTAAAGAATGCACAGACATAAAAGATTGCAGCCTTTTAAATACTCATTCAGTGTTAAACCTTTTTTTGATTGGGCATTGGTTTTTTCAATCTTGTTGTTGTGTGAATTCATAACTGCTTTGAGTGAATGGAAAATTTCAAAATTACAAACCTCAATCTTAAGCGAAGAATAAGTAATGAAAACTGGATAGAAAAAAATTGTTGATTTAAAATTGAAAATGATTTCACACTTACACAGCTCTGGTATGTACATACACAAATCGACATCTCAAACTTTGTACAAAAATTAAAAAAAAATCAGCTACAAACTTTTAATTCAGAATTTTTAGAGATTGCAAGTCTACGATTTTACGCATTTTTTCGATATAAAGTGTGTTCGAAAGTTTTTTAAATGGATGAAAATATATCACACCGTCAGCAAAAAAAATTATCAAAAATCAACGGGATTTTGTAGAAAATTCCCTTTTATTTTTTGACTATAAAACTGCGAACTTAGAATCTTCTAAAAAGTTCTAAATTAAAAGTTTGTTGTTGCGAAAACTTACTTTTTGTGCTGGGCCTTCACAATAGGATTCTGCTTTTGTCAAAAGCTGCCACACAATATTTCTCACGGCCCTTATTAATTTTTTAGTGCTTTTAATTTTCACTTTTTGTAATTTTTTAATCTATAATGTAGTATGTGATTATTTGTTATATAGTACATTGGCATATTATGCTAAGTTTCTATAATTTATGATTATGCCAAAACAGGATGAATTGTGCCACAAGTGCCTCTGCGAATGAAAGTGCCAAAAATGGCACTATTGTGCCTACTTTTCCATCACTGGTGTTGATTCAAACTCAACGTATGAAAGCACATTTACATGCATGGCTGTAGCTGAGTGAGCAAAGATGCTTGATACAATTGGTTTCTACCAAGGCTGTCCGGATCAATCCTCATCAGACGGAGCATGAAATTTGAGATTTTTTTTAATTATGAAAAGTTCACGAAAGTGAAGTGTAACGTGAAGCAAATGAATTAGAAAATGTTTGGAAAACCGAACTGTTTAAATTCTAAACCCAACATAGGTGCTCTCTTTTTTTAAACTTGGAAGGTTTGTATTTGAAACTGAATTTAGTTTGGTTATATATGTAGTCCAAAAAGTTTAAAATTTTTAACCGTGTATATACATGCGGCACAGTGTCTCAATAGTGGTATTCACCAAATGGAGCAAGTAGTCTGGCACTCATGCGGCACAGTGTCTCAATAGTGGTATTCAGCAAATTAAGCAAGTAGTCTGGCACTCTGCTCAATTTGGTGAATACCTATAATGCTTTTTGGCAATTTTTTACAAGTACAGCTTGAGCTTGAGTGGCATGTGCACTTTATATAAAATAAATCGGTTTCTGCACTTAATGTTTTCAACCCGCCCAAGTCTCCAGCAACATTGGCTCTATCAGTGGCCAAACCAATTAGGTTTCTTATTTTTAAAGGCAGGATTGGCAAACGTTAGAAAGGTACAATTGGCAAATATTTATATGCTAAAGATGTTTGAAATATACATATATATTTTTATAATTAAGAATTTAAAAACTTAAGTCAACTATCCGACCAAAATCTCACTTTGCCTACCAACCTACCAAATGATAAGGGAGCGACCAAATTTGGTCGGAAAAGACCAATAGTGGCAACACTGTGACAGAGCTCTCAGTAAGCTATGGCATGTCGGTCACTGCGATAGGTAGAGAAAGAAAAGTGGGTACTATAACATGCCCAGACTTGTTGGTCTCAGTTTCAGTTTTGCTTTCGCCGCGAGTTGTTTCGGTGCGCGCATAGTTATTTAAAAATATAAAGTTTGATGCCAACCAGGGTTTCTCAGTGGATATATAATTCATGTGAATTATAATTTGAAAGTGTCTATTTAGCCAAGGAAAAAGCAAAGCAGTATACTTTAACCAGCACTTCCAGCTAGGGTTGCCAACCGTACTATAATGTATAGGATTGTACTATATTTCCGGTCGGCGTACTATATACTTTTGGAAAAAATATAGTACGCAAAAATACTATATTTTTTCAATAATAAATAAAAAAATGTTTTTCAGTAATTTGCACGAAAAATTGTGTATGAAAATGGATGTCCTTTATACTGAAATAACAATATTAAATTAAATATTCTTTAAACTAAAAGGTCATTGTGAGTTTATAATCAAAAAATGTAACATAACCGAGAAGGAATTGACAAATTCACTTAAAATTATTTCATTTCTACTCTCTACAACAACTCCAACAACTTCGGAAAAGGGATAAAACGATACCATGGAAGTATCGATACCTGTCCTTGGAAGTAGCATCGAGAGAAAGTATCAATACCTACTAAGTATCGGGTTCAAAGTATCGATACCTACTTATATCGATATTTGTACGTACAGTGAAACCCGCTTAAGTAACCAACATTTTTGGGCACCCGTGAATATTTTGATGTAATCTGAAGAAAACCCTCTCTTAAGTACCCCGCTTATTGACCCAACCTGCCTAAGTACCAAAATTTTTCGTACCCCATTTACCATTTTACTTATAATTTTCCCCTTTTAAGTGCTCCCGCAACACGTTTGGCAAAAAAATCTAAAAAATCAATGGTAATTTTTAGCCAGTTGAAACTTGCACATTATTACACTAAAATTGAATGGGTTTTCTTCTGACAAAAAGTTTGATATTTTGATGAAAATTTAATGAATTTTTTTTCAGTATTCTAAAAATTTTAATTCAACAATTTATATGAGCTTGAGGCCGTTTTTAGTGAAAACTTATTGTGGAAAAGCAACAATAATTTGAAAAAATGGTAGAAGTGATAGCTATTTCGGAAATCACCACATTTCCTCATCAGACTTCTTTCAGTAGGATTCGAACCGACGATCACCACTGACTCAGCCAGTTGCCTACGCACTGTGCTAAGTTTGGCTTGTTAATTCTTGTTGCTTATTTTCCACTATTGCACTTTGCTAAGTTCGAATCCTACTGAAAGAATTAATCCTTAGCAGAATTAATNACAAGAATTAACAAGACAAACTTAGCACAGTGCGTAGGCAACTGGCTGAGTCAGTGGTGATCGTCGGTTCGAATCCTACTGAAAGAAGTCTGATGAGGAAATGTGGTGATTTCCGATATAGCTATCACTTCTACAATTTTTTCAAATTATTGTTGCTTTTCCACAATAAGTTTTCACTAAAAACGGCCTCAAGCTCATAAAAATTGGTGAATATAATTGTTATAAGGCTATAAAAATAACAAAAGTAAAAAATTTTAAGCTTAAGTTTATATATGTTTTAATTGAAAAATCTTAAAAATTAATAAATAAGCATAAGTGACAATCAACATCATTTTGAATTTGGTCGAAATGATAGATATGTCCAACAGAACAGAATTGAATTCTTGTAAAAATAAAATAACATTGCTTTATCGATTTGTTTTATAAAGTTTTTATTTATATGTTTGAGTACTTTACCCCAAACATTTGAAGGGATATGCAATATGAAACTTTCAGTCAGTATTGGAGGTGCTACGCCTCTTTTCCATAAACGTCCATTTTTCTCCGTGAATATGAACATGATTTCACACAGTGTTGGAAAACTGTTAATCTGATTAACGATTAAAATGTTAATCGCGTTTGACGATTAAAATTAATTAGTCGTTATCAACTGTACGATTAATGATAACATTTTTTGAATCGTTAATCGCTGGCTGCGATTACGTTTAATTAATTTAAAACATTAATCGTTAATCCAATTAAAAATAAAATCTGATTAATTTGTCTAGTTTGTCCGAGTTTGAAACCAAACACCAGTTATAGTAATTATTTTGTGTTTTACGCTTATAAAAAGCACA